AGAAAGAAAGAAAGAAAGAAAGAAAGAAAGAAAGAAAGAAAGAAAGAGAAAGAGAGAAAGAGAGAGAGGAAGGAAGGAAGGAAGGAAGGAAGGAAGGAAGGAAGGAAGGAAGGAAGGAAGGAAGGAAGGAAGGAAGGAAGGAAGTTGGTTTTGTCTCAAAAACTAAGCTGGAGCAGCGTAGATGTGGCTCAATAATTAAGAGCCCTAAATGTTCTTGTGAACCCAAGTTCAGTTCCCAACCTGTGTTGGGCAACTCACAACCATCAAGAACTCTAGTTCCAGGGGATCTGACACTGTTTTCTGGCCTCCACGGGCATGCACATGTGCGCGCGCGCACACACACTCACACACACACACACACACACACACACACACACACACACATCCAAAAGGCTTCAAGGAAGAAAATTTGAACCCAGTCTTGAAGGTGGGTAAAAACTAAGGAAAGCCATTCCGGGCAAGCAGAGATTCCAGAAGAACTCGGGGTGTATGCAGGTAAGCTTGGTTTCGGTCAGATACAGTGCATGGTAGGAATAAGGATGACAACCCGCTCGTTATTACGAGCTGGCTTAAAATGAAGGGAGTAATTAAAGAGAGCCGAGCAGACTTCCACCTGTCAGATTATTGACTAAAGAATTGAATTCACTATATTCTCTGGTTTCAGTTATTAAAAAACCATCTGAGTTATTAAAAAAACCTTCTCAGACGGTGACTGTCCGTGGCGCTTGTGTCACGTGGGGTCTCACGGTGGGACTCAATAGATGACAGCTGAATGAATTAAGAAGTGCCACAAAGAGTCCCAGCATCAAAGGTACCTTAGATCACCATATAACATGCAAAAGCACATGTGTGTATGTATGTGGAGGCCAATGTCAGTGCTGGAGTCTCCCTCAATCACCTTCCACCCTATTTATTTAAAAGACTTTATATATGTGTGTGTGGATCCTGTGTGTGTACCAAAGGATAATTTCAGGTGCCATTTCTCATGTAGTATCCAACTCCTTTTTGTTTTGGCTTTGGTTTGGGGGATTGTTCGCTTGCTTGACTTTTGAAATGGGATCTCTCACTTACCTCACACTCACTGAGTAGGCTAGGTAGGCTGGCCAGTGAGCCCCAAGGACCACCTATCTCTCCCTCCCCAACACTGAATGATAAACACACACTTCCATGCCTGACTTTTTTGCATGGACCCTGGGGATTGAACTTGGGTGTCCAGCTTTCAGAACAAGCACTCCACCAACTGAGCAATCTCCTCAGCCCTTCAGTTTTTACTTTGTTTGTTTTTAGGTAATACTAGGAATTGAATCCAATACTTCACACTTGCCAGGCAAGGACTCTACCACCAAGAAACTTTCCACCCCATTTTCACAAGGTCTTACTCAGTTGCCCAGGCTGGTCTTGAACTTGAAAATCCTTCTGCAGAGCCTTCCATGTACCTGGGATTGTGCTATCAAACCCAGCTTAAGCTATCTTTTCTCTCTTTAGCCAGAAATAATCTCTTTCTCTTGGCACTGAGGGTCACTGTGTTCTGGCATTTGAAATCCCCATCTGTGACATGTCAATAAAACTCTAAGAGCAATCACAGCCAGGATCCAATGTCAAGTTTCAGTGACTGTAGGTTGCCCTGCCCCAGGCCTTTGCTACATATCTTTACACACAGCATTATACTGGTGGCAGTTAGAGAAAAGGAAGAAGTGAGCTCTCTGTCCCCGAGAGCTGTTTCAGGAGATATGGATACTGGCAAGGTCTAAATGAGATAGACAAGTCAGCTTCTTCATGGGCTAATTCACAGAAGACCAAACCAAACAAAAGCTCTGTTATCTCCTCAAGTTAGGGAGTCAGAGATGTGGGGATTGGGGACTGGGGAGTGGACTCTGTCGGTTAAGTAGTGCCTCAGAAACACAAAGACCCTAGCCTCCATGGAAGCATCTGTGACCCAGCACTCCAGTGATCCCAGTGAGGATTTAAGTGGATCCCAGTGCTCACTGGCCAGCTAGTCTAGTCAATCAGCGACCCCCAGCTTCAGCAAGAGACCTTGTCCTGCAATAATAAAGTGTGAAGTAATTAAGGAAGAAATCTGACGTCACACACTTACACACACACACACACACTACAAACATATAAATATTTTTTAAGTGTGTAGCTGTCACTTTGATATCTAGCATAGCTGTTGAAAGAAAATATGGCCACAAGGACCATAACATTCACCAAGATCCAAGCTGAATTAGCCTTTTCCCAACCAACTACAAAGTGTGACCCACATCCTGCAGAGCCAAGATCCCTAAGCAAGGAGTATTTTAATTGTCAAAGTGCAGCCCGTTGCCTCTGGGAAGTTCACAGACTAAAGGAATATAGGACCCAAATAGAACGATCTTGAATTCACTGTAATTTCATAATGGAACTTGAGACACATAGGGATTCTAGAAGGAAAACTGGTTCCTAGCTAGAGTGAAAAAAAAAAAAAAACTTGCGTGACCTCCTCAGGGTTATGTGGTGTGAGGTTCAGGCTCCTGGAAGCCAATGACTAGCACTAGGCAAAGTGAATTCAGTCATGTGTTTAAAGACATTGATTATACACGGTTTAAGGTTCCTCCCACCAGAGTCTTAAGGATTAATTCCAGGAAAGGACTGGCTGACATGTCCTGTGTTCCACCCCTCTTGACTTCCTCTATGTCCTCCCAACACACTCAGTTCATGCTCACTCCAAAACTTTTGTATGTGTCTGCCGTCCCTCACCCTCAAATGTCTTCCCTCTCTGAGCCTCACACGACAGAGTCAATCTCTTCATCGTGGACTTAATCCAGATGACATCGGCTGGAGAAGTCTTCCCTGGTTTTCTTAGTTTAGAGACTGGCCAACCCCAGCCCATGTGACAAACCCAGGCCACCCAGTTTCTACATAGTCCGAAAATCAAGAACAGCTTTTATGTGATTAGAAAGAAATTAAAAAAGCCCTAATGTTTGGTAAACTATGAACACTGTATTTGTTCAAATACCAATTTTCCGTGCAGGGCTTTCCTGGAATGCAGACCCCCTCATTCATTTAGCATCTGTGAGTGCTTTCAAGATTTGATGTCTGACTACAGGCTTAAATCTGGTTGTTGGCATGGGTATGTGTGCATGATGTACATGTGTGTATGAGTGTTCATATGTGTGTGGAGACCTGTGTGTATGCGTGTACACGTGAAGGTCAAAGGCTGAATGTAGGTGTCTTTCTTGGTCACTCTCCACCTGATATTCTGAGGCACACATGCACACACGAGAAAGAAAATAGAAGAGCCTGAAGCTCTACAGTCTTTCCGTCTCTGCCTTGGCCACCGTGGGATATCAGCAAGATTTTAGTGCACATCTGTCAAACAAATGCACCCCAAGGAATCTTTGCTTTGGTTGCCAAGAACCAACAGGAAATTTTCTAACAAAAACTGTCTTATCTCACTTCAGTGCACACATTTTACACAGGTCTTAAACTTGTAATTCCACTCCAAAGGCTCTCGTCAAACGAAAGACGTCACCACAGAACCAAGGACATGCAATGTTGCTCATAAGACAGACACATCCTCATTTCAGAAGGTTCAGTGTTTGAAAAGCAGGCTGTTCAGGAAGTGTGGCAGAGGAGACGGAGTGAAAATCTCAAAAGCAATGAAATCAACCCTGATTTTGGTGGCGGAGCAACTGTCTGGATGGTGGAATTCCCCTAGAAGTGACCCCAACCAACCCCCAACCCCTCCCTGGCAAGCAGGTCTCACCAGTGACGTTGAAGGGTGTCCTCAGGATCCGGGCCATCCAGTTGTAGAGAGCTCTCTGGGTGTGGGCTGAGGTTTGGTCGTAGAGGTCTTTGAACACTGCAGATCTAAGGCACACAGACACGCTTGTCCGTTACCAACACACAGGTAGAAGATGCCCACCCTGAAGAAGCCATGAGAGCACTGTGCCCAGGTGCTGCCATGCTGAAACCCTCCACATGCCTTTGCTGTGCTGACTGTTTTCCTCGATTTCCCTTCACAACTAAACACTTTGCAAAGAGCAGCCTCTGGGTCCTGTCTCTGCTTCCTCGGCTCTTAATTCTTCTTTTGTGTGCAAAAACTTTTTTTGAGATGTATAGCTTACATGCCCTATAATTCACCTGTCTAAAGTATGTAACTCACCAGCATTCCTAAAAGCAGAATCAGGAAAGTTGGCGGTTCAAGGCCAGCCTTGCAGCAAATCTGAGGCTAGCATGGGCTGCATGAGACCGTGTCTCAAGAAAATGAAATCACGATACTCTCAAGAAAACGGATAGAACTAAAAAATATTGCAATATGTGAGGTAACTCGGGCTCCGAACACAGCCTTCACAGATCTTAGCTTCTGCCTTTTACACACACATTGTAGGAGAGCAGCTTACAAAGAAACTCCACCCCCTTAGCTGTCGGCCCTCAACCCTTAGTCTCCAACACTTGTCCGTCTCTGGAGTTTTGACAAATAATAATCCCTCTCTGGTGTGGAGTGGTCTTGTCAGTTTCTGAGCCAATGCACTCTGATTTATCATTGCTGTACCACCCCCATGGCCTCCGTCACCATCATCTTCTCACCCAGCCCAGAGACCCCAGGTGGTACAAAAAGGGCTTGCCACTTCATAGCCTCTGGCGCTGCCCAGTCTTCCTGCTCATGCTGAAAACCTTCCAAACCTCCCAGTCATTCTCTGTGTGAACGTACACATTTTCCCTTAACCCCCACACAGTGCTGTCTTTGTATTCTCTATTTCTTTCTCTCCTTTCCTTTGGGTTTTTGTTTTAATTTTATTTTGTGTGTATCTTGTGAGTGAGTGTGTGTGTGTGTGTGTGTGTGTGTGTGTGTGTGTGTCCGCTTAGCTGTATGTGTATTACCTGTGTGCAGTGGCAGCAGAGGCCAGAAGAGGGCTTCTGAGCCCCTGGAACTGGAGTTACAAGTGACTGTGAGGTGCTGGATACAGATGCCAGGAACCAAGGCCAGGCCCTCTGCAAGAGCAGCAAGTGCTCTCAACCAATGGGCCCTGTCTCCAGCACCTTTTCATTTTCGTTTTTGTTTTCTAAGAGCAAGGGTAGTTGAAAAAGCAGGGGCAATGAAAAGACACAGAGACACATAGACACACATGCATACAAAGTGATAAGAGTCATTTAAGAGAAATTTATCCCACCCCAATCAGTAGGGAATGTTTCTGCCCTAGGGAGAGTCATTTAGCCTCTCTGCTCTCCACTTTTCTCATCCATAAAGAAGAGAAAAGGGAGGGCAGGTAGAGTGAGAAGGGGAGAGAAGACCTGGGGCAAATCGCCTCACGAGGTAGAGCCCTTCTGACTGGGATCAGCGGCCTTGTCTGTGAGACTCTAGAGGGTTCTTCCTCCAGGAGAGGGCTCGGCAAGAAGATAGTCTTATGAACCAGAAGGGAGAGAGATACCCAATCCACCATGCCTCAGCCTTGGACATCCCAGACACCAGAGATAAGTATCTATTGTCCAAAGTACCCTGCCTACAGCTGACAGCGACATTCAGGAGAGCCGTGCAGACAGTAGGATACAGTGGCGCTGTTTTTCAGTGTATCTTAAGATCATTTTTTTACTTAAGACAAAAAGACTGGTTTCTCATTTATGGAAATAAGGCCAAATCTTCTTTACTTTTCTTTTCCAGGTATCTGTATGTGGTATACACATCTGTTGCATGTGTGTGGGTACATGTGTGTGCCTGTGGAGGCTAATGTTTATAGTGGGAATCTTCACTGCTTGTTCTCCCACTTTATTCATTGAGGCAGAGTCTGTGAACCAAGCCCAGAGCTTGCTGATGGGGCTAGGCTCCCCAGCCAGCTTGTTCTGGGGATGCCCTGTCTTTGTCTTTCCAGGCTGGAATGACAGGCAGACTGCCACATCCCCCGGGCATTTACACAGGCTCTAGCAAGCCAAACTCCGGTCATGCTTGCACGGTAGATGCATTCCCACTGAGCCATTCCCCAAGCCCTAAAACAAATGATTTTTTTAAATGGAAAGGATGAAAGATAATAAAGAAAATCACGAAACAGACCACGGGGCAGGAGGCAGCTAGATGTGGCAAAAACTAGAATAGTTTCCAGATGACTCCAATTTGAGAGAGAAGGCAGCTTTAATCAAAGCCTCTCTCAGCTCCGCCTCAGAGGGTGGCTGTCTACCTGTGCCCACCATCTCCTCCCTTGCTGGATATTAACCTCCTTGAACCCTCGCTGCAGCCTGTGAGCAGCACGCGGAATCAAGGGTTCGGAGGGAAAGACTCACAGGTTCTTAAAGGCATCCTCGCGCAGGTCCTGGGGAAGCCTGGCTGTGAGGTCCGGCTGCAGAAAGCTGTCCGGGGACCCTCTGAGCACCCTGCCCAGGACCTCCACACACTCCAAGGGGTTCGACACCTGGAAACACCGCTCCAGTATGATGAGCAACAGGCTGCGGTTCACACCAGGGCTCTGAAGGGCCTCTTCCCGAATGTCCCCCAAGCGGATGACAGTGTCCTTCAGGTCCTGAAGGAAGGAGAGAAATTAGGGCCACTGAAGCTTTGTGGCCAAAGTACATGAGAAGACACCTTCAAGGAAAAAAATGCTTATTTGGTCTGCTGGTTTCAGAGGGATTGCTGCATGGTCGAGTGGCTCCATGTGCTTAAGGGGGAGCTTGTTCAGGGGCGTAGTTCACTGCATTGTTAACAGGAAGCGGAAGTGGAAGGGCCATTCAAAATCTTCTAGACCTGACCCCTCCCTGACCCACCTTCTGCAATCAGGCCCCACCTCCTGGAGTTTCCACAACACCTCCCAAAATAGTCCCATCGGATAGAGACCCCATGAGCTCATGGGGCGCATCCCATATTCAAACCGTTATAGCCACACTAAAGCTGCCTCGACACGACAGCGCTGGAAAGGCGTCTCATACTACAGCATGAAGAAACTTGGGGTCACGGTTTGTACCACGCGGCTAGGTGGAAAGCAGTAGAATTTTCTATCACCTTCGATCGAAGGCAAGGCTTTCACCTGCTCTTCCTACACCGCTGTCTTCCCATTCTCCGGCCAGACAACCTAAGTATCGCCTAGAACTGACTTATGGTGTTTCCTGGGGGAGGGAGGGAGTGAAGGCTCCAGGCTTCACAATGGGAGCAGGATCTTTGCCACAACTGGAATCATGGGCATTTTCACAGTGCATAACAGTTATGCAGACATCTTGAGATCTCCATACAGTTAACACCTGTTGAGGGATCCAGAAGTCACCGGACCTGCTGCCGAGTTCTACCAGTGGATGTGTTAAAGGCACACACAGTTCACCTCTGTGTTTGTACCGGGCCTTTCTGTAAGCGTTCTTCAAGAGAACCGACTCTCTGTATTTTGTTTTGTAGATTTTGAAAACATCACTTTGAGATGGACCCATGGCTTCCACGGGTAGGGACCTGTTTCCCAATCTCAGAGTCATTTCTTCTAAGATGTTTCACTAGAGGTTACTTACGCTCTCCAAGACTCCGTTTCCTCACCTGGTTATTAAAATGTTAAATTATCTCTTATTTTTTGTTTTGTTTGAAGGTGCTACGATGACATTTAGAATGTTGTTCATCCTAGGCCAGCCCCTGACCACTATGCTAAACCTTCAGACCTTTTTCCTGTGTGTGTGTGTGTACAGAGTATCACTCTGTAGTCTAGTCTGAATTGAAACTTTCTATGGAGCCCAGAACATGTCAAAAACTCTTCCTGCCTCAGCCTCCCAAGTCCCAGGATTACAGGCAAGAGCCAGAAAACCTGGCTTTCAATGGTGACATTCTTCTTAACCTTTTTGAAAAATGCTGTAGGGAAGATTAAATTAATCCATGCATGCTAAGTCCTTAAAAAATGACAGACAGGCTATCTGTCCCACAGGCCAAAACTGATACACTGCTTGTTTTTTGTTTTTTGATAAAGTTTTATTGGCATATACCCATACCTAACAATAAAATTAATTAATTGTGTCTTGGGGGGTAGCCTACAAACCTTCATTTTTACTCATCTGTCCCTTGTTGGTCATTCCCTTAGAAAAAAATCTCATATATAGAAAACCCTTAATAAACATTATAATAGATTTTTATAGATTTTTAAACTAAATTAATTTTAAAAGCTGAAGTTCATTTCAAAATAAAATTCTATTCATACCAAACTAGTGGCTGTTAGGTTTTAATAGCCAATATTAAAGTAAGACAGATTAGGAGTTAGGAATATAGCTTGCCCAGCAGGCTATAGGCCATAGGTTTGATCCTTAACACTACCATAATAATCAAATAAAAAATAACTATATAACCATTAAAATGTTTAAATCTTTCCCAAATCCATGTGAATTAAAACTAATAAGAATCTTAACATTTTAGAGCTGGAGAGATGGCTCCGCAGTGAGGAGTCAGCAAGAGGTCAGTTCCCAGCATCCACACAGAGCAGCTTATACTTACAAGAACCTCCAGTTCCAGAGAACCCAGCGCCCTCTTCTGAGTTCCACGGGTACAAGGCACACATGTGGTGCACACGCATACATGCAGGCAAAAACTCTCATACACATTAAAAAATAAATAAACCAATCTTTTAAAGAAGAAGAAGACAAGGAAGAGGAAGAAGATTTCCACCCTGAGTTCACATGCAGAAACTGGGACTTGGCAAGGGCTTGACTCCATTCTGGAGCAGTGAGACCCACACCTAACTCTCTCCAATGAACAGACACTAGCCCTCAGCTTTGCAGCCTCGGGGCATTTGGGGGCTTGGGGACCTTACTCTCTGTTCTGTGAGTGTCATAACCTTGTTTTGTGGTCATTGCCAGCTGTTGCTTGTCTTCATCCCACACTGTAACCTTAAGGACAGGGACAGTCCTTTCTCTCTACACTCACTGCACACAGCAGTCACCCTCAGACACTTACCAACCCAAACTGTTAGAAGACCCTCAGTACCCTTAGTGCCCATAGGAATAGAAAAATGTAACTAGGAGACACTGAAGAAGAAAAGCCAGGTCCTGGAGTCCCAAGCCGGAGTGGTGACGCAGAAGAGAGGAAGGAGTCAAGAACGGCCCAGCAAATGTCAACTGCCTCCAACCCCCCCCCATACACACTCCTCATCCGAGGCCAAGCTTGCCTCACCAGGCGGTCCCACTTGTCTTCCAAAAGGCATTTCATGGCAGTGCGGAACTGCTGGGCATCGGTGTCCCTCAGGTCCTCCAGCAGCTTCTGGGGCTGGTACAGGTACTGTTCCAGGTGGGTTTCCATGACTGCCTGGGCACGGGAGATGCAAGCAGTGAGGACAGAGACCGAGCGGCGGGTCAGCACCATGGCCAGCGACCCAGAGAGTTAGACTTCCTAGCGGGGTCGCCAGCTGTCAAGCAGCTTGTACGTGGGGGTTTATGTGGTTACAAGTGCCGTAAAGTCAGGGATTGCTTACAAAATCCAGTCTCCCAATTCTATTTAGAAAATTCAAAAAACAAACAAACAAAAACGGACAACACTGGACGTACTCCACATCCTCAGGTGGTCAGTCTGATTTCCCCATTCTGCGGCCTGCCTTGTCCTTGTCCAAGGCAGTGGGCCTCTGCCAGGAAGCTGAAAATCCCTGGTTTCCTACCACTCGATCCCTAGCGCTGAGCACAGGAGAAAACTCAGGTAGAATGAATCTGTGCCCCGTGAGGCCGCCAGCCTTTCCTCTGCTATTTTCGAACGTGTTTTCTTTTTGATCTAGGAGCTCTTGGATTTTGTTGCTGCTGTTGTTCAGCCTTGGAAGTGGGAATCTCCCTATGTGGTCCAGGCTGGCCGTAAATCCACACTCCTCTTGCTCCGGCTTCCCAGGTGCTGGGGTTACGGTTGTATGCCCAGCCTCAGTTTCTTAAATATCCCTTACACAAATATGCTCTGGGCAAACACTGGGTATAAAATACAGATAACACGTATGCAAATCTCCAAGTTCACACTTATCCGAACTTCAGTTTAATCAGGTATCATATATTTGAGTGTTGTGGTTTGTCTTTTGAGACAGGGTCTCAGGTAGCCCAGGCTGGTTTCAAACTCACTGTCCTGTCTTGGGGTTTTTGTTACAGTGATGGAATTTTGTGTTACAGTAATAGAAAAGCGTCTAATACACTCCTGCTGTTCTTCAATCGGTAAAGTCCCTCCAGTTTCCACAGGTGGTTTTGTACTAGAACGTGACTAATCTCGGGAGGTAGGGACAGGTTTCACGTGCACACCTGCAGGCTGGGGATGGTGAAGGCCACATTCCGTGAGTTGAGATAGGCAAGGACTCCGTGGGACAGGTCCTCAGTCCACACATGGGAGCTTCAAGAGAAGACAGATGGGAGAAAGTCAGTTGCAGCGGCCAGGTCCCCTGCAAACATTCCTTCTTGGCTGCGTGCCCTGGGGCTCAGAGAGGATGGCGTCAATGGGCTGGGATGCCAGGGAGCTCTATGTTGAGAAGTAAGAGACCCCCTCACCTGGCAACGTGGGAGGAGATGTGTTCATAAGTGTACATACAGCTGTGTGTGTGTTGAGGTATGTGTACATACAGGCGTGTATGCATCTATACAGGTGTGTGTGTGTGTGTGTGTGTGTGTGCGTGTGTGTGTGTGTGTTTGTGTTTATATATATATATAGGTTTGTGTGTATACAGGTATGTATTTGCTTTCACAGTGATGCCTGAAGACAACCTCAAGTGTCATGGAGACAGGGTCTCTCCTTGGCCAGGAGTTCACTGATTCAGCTAGGCTAGCTAGCCAGTAAACCCTAAGAATTCCCTGTCTATAGCGCCCCAGGACTGGGATTACTAGCATGTGCCACCATGCCCAAAATTTATATGCAGGTTCTGGGGTCAAACTCAGGTTCTCATTCTCTTTATGACTGAGCCTTCTCCAGCCCCTACAAACAGCTTTTTCCCTCTTTCTTTCCTTCTTCCTTCCTTCTTTTCTTTTTCTTCTTCTTTTTATCTATCTATTTATTTATTTATTTATTTATTTATTTATTTGTTGCTTTTTAAGGCAGGGTTTCTTTGCACAGCTTTGGCTTTTCTGGAACTCACTCTGCAGACCAGGCTGGCCTCAAACTCAGAGATCTGCCTACTTCTGCCTCCTGAGTGCTGGGATTAAAGGCACAAACAGCTTTTTTGTAATCTCTTTTTTGTTGTAGATAAACAGATAGATGGATGGATGGTAAAATAGTTAGTAAATAAATAAAACTGTATCCTGAGAGAAAATATCTAAAACCTCCCATTGAAGTTCTTAGGGGGGAGGGATGTTTTGAGGGGCTTTTCACCTTGATGTGATTGGCTGTCCCTGGAAGGGGTCCGAGGCCCCCATTTCCTCTTCTTTTTTTTTTTTTAAAGATTTATTTATTATTTATACAACATTCTGCCTGAACACCAGATCTTACTATAGATGGTTCTGAGCCACCATGTGGTTGACTGGGAATTGAACTCAGGACCTTTGGAAGAACAGCAAGTGTTCTTAACCTCTGAGCCATCTCTCCAGCCCCCATTTCCTCTTCTTTAGAGAATGCACATTAAGATTTCATGTGGATAGCTTTCGGTCAGGAACACTGTCACATCACCCCATCTTTCCTGTCTCTCATTCAGGCCCGAGCAGCACAGAGCAGGGCAGTGGTGGCAGCAGGCCCTGGAACCAGGCACCAGTGCCACCCTCCGGCCCTGCCACCCCCCAGCTGTGTGGCCTCTACCTGCTTTCCCCAAGCCTCAGCTTCACTATTCTGCCCAAAAGGATAGCAACCGGCCCCAGCCTGCGAGGTGGAGGAAACACAAGGCTTCTCTGCACCACCACTGTGAACAACGTTGCCTCCTCAGGAGTGCTTCAGGCATCTTCATCTCAAGCTACCAAAACCGCGCCCGAGGAACGTTTGGGAAGCAAGTGTGTCAACTAAAACTCTGTACATTGGTTGATGCTCTCGGCAGTGAGCATACACTACTTTTCTCAAGTAAGAAACTCCGTCTAATGGTTATTAGTGGGGAAAAATACCATCTTTTCCAACCCCTCAGAGGCACATTACCTTTCAAAGTGTATGAGATCCAGTAATGCTACAGTGGGGACAAAATGAAGAGACAGCTTTAAATGGAATCATTTCACAGACACCACATCCGTATTCTGTTTGAAGGTCTCAGAAGGCACGCAAGGGGACGAACTGGGGACATTACCATTCAGATAGCTTCCCTCTATTATTTCTTCCTACAAGGCAAAGAGATAACATCAAGTATAACATTCAAATTTGGCAGCGCCTGTGGAGGGGATTTTGATTAAAATAAAAACGAACACTCACCGCCATTTTCTGCAACAATGGATGCAAATCTGTAAGAAAGCCGTTGGATATGTGACTAGAACTGAACAGTATGACCTTCATAAAGGCAGAGGTAGCTAGCACAGGAGCCCAACAACAGGCTTTCCATGAATTGTCATCATTGCAACTGTGAGAAAACCTTGGTTTACAACCCCCGCTGAGAACCTTTACACACTGTCACTGGGAGTATCAGTTTGTCCAGCCACTGTGGAAATCAGGAAAGATCCACTCAGTGTCACACAGAGGCGGCCGAGGCAGCACACCACAGAGACCTCTGCACATGCGTGCTCAGTGAGGCAGGATTCACAATTACCCGAATGTGGGGACAGCCTGGAAATCCATCAACAAAACGCTGGTGAGGGAAATGTGGTCTATAGGCACGATGGAGTATTAGTTGGCCACAAAGGAGAACGAAGTTATGTCATTTGCAGGAGAAACGTTGGAACTGAAGAGCATCGTGTTAATCAAAACAAGCCAGGCTCAGAAAGACAGGCACTGCATGTTTTCTTCACGTGTGGGATCTGGTGAGCCCACGGGCAATAGGAGAAAGAAAGGGTATTGGGGGCGAATTCCACTGAAGCACACTGTGTGCACGTGTAAAAACGTCATAATGAGCTTGTTTTGTTACTTTGTATAAATAATACTCGCTAATAAAAAAGAACACGATGTGTAACAACCCTAAAAGACCCACACATATCCACAGACACACAAAAGCTCACGCCCCTCTCACCTGAATGCATCATGAGCCCAAGCTGACATACCCAGCTCCACTCCCTGAAATGTGTGGAAGCCATAAATGGCGTTTCTCTCCTCAAGACTTACCCTGCCTGGAGCTTGTGTCTCTCTGACCCGCACCTCCACGGCTCAGAAAGAGGACCAGGAGAAGGGAGTACATCCTAGGTGCCTGAGACATTCTCCTGCAGTTAAGTCAAGCACGGAAGTGATTCAGCTTTCTTTTTCTTTAAAAGAAAACATATTTAAGAACATTCAGTAGCAAAAGGAACACACAGAAACCAAATTCCTCAAAAATGCTTAAAATGAGTTAATGATTCCAGTGTATACCTAAGACACATCATCATTTCTGCAGTGACCTCAAATCCAATTTCTATTCTTGCCACCACCCCTGTTCCTCCACAGGAAGAGTGTTAGAAGAGTGTTTCTAAGTGCTCGCTCCATCATCTTTCACGTGTGCCCTGGATCCAGGATGTAAAAAATCTCACAGTCCAGTAAGAAGACAGGTCAATGGTAAAACAGAGTTGAACCTCTTTAAAACACATACAAAATGCACACCAAATGTGAGTTACTTTATACAGACAGGGGTCTGCTCAAAACAAGCTCCATTTGTGGATGTTTAAAAAGCAGACAGGACGGATGCTTGTTTTCGTGACTTAAGTCCATGCATGTCACCTTTCTTCCTATGACTCCCCGGGATAAAATAAAACATAAAGTAAACCCACACTGAGACCACACACACGGTCCCTAAAGCAGCGAAAAGGAGGAAGACTGACAGCATCAAATGGTGGCAGTGTTGTAGCTGGAAAACTGTTTGCCAGAGTTTTGTAAAATTACAAGCTCGATACTCTATGATCAAGGAATTTCAGGGGCTGGGGTTGTGGCTTAGTTGGTAGAGAGCTTGCCTAGCATGCACAAAGCTCTAAGTCCTATCCAAGCACCATAAACTTGGCGTTGGAGGTACACACCTGTAATCCCAGCACTCAGGCAAGAAAGGATAGAGAATCAGAAATGTAAAGTTATCCTCAACTACCTAGAAAATTCAAGGGCAGACTGGACTACGGAAGACTGTCTCCAAAAAAAAAGGAAGGAAAGAAGGAAGGAAGGTGGGAAGGGAGGAAGAAAAGAAGGAAGAAGGGAAAGAGGGAAGAAAGGAAAGGAAAAAAGAAAAAGGGATTTCAATGTCTGGTTTTGCCAAGGGAAATAGAAACATACAGATGCAAAGATTGGTTCAGCCTTATTTGAAACAGCCAAATATTAGAACAAGCCAAATGTCCAACAGGCGCAAGGTTAAAGATAGCATATATATTAAAATGAACCAATGGATCACCACTCAGCAATAAAAGAAGTTAAATCTACCACCTTAGGCAATTAGAAAACCAACCAAAATACGTGACAAGAAGGTTTCAAGCTTCTGAATGCAAGAATCAGGAACCGAGGTCTCTCAGACCTCAGCTGAGCCCAGCCACCGTTCCTTGCTACCACAATGAGTCCCCAGGCCACTGTGCAAGCTGAGGAGACAGAGAGAGGCTTCAGGAAAGTCAGGGCAGCCAGACTTCCAGGGAGGAGCACTTGGAGAGGAGTAAGCTACACCTAGAGAGTTCTGGAGCCCTGAGGGAGGTTCCTCGAGACAAGGAAAATGAAAATGCCATCTGACATGAGAGGAATGAAACCACAGAAGGTGGACCAGCCTTTAGAACCTCACAGCTAGTGCAGAAAATGCTCTGTGTACAGCAAGTGCTGAGACAGTCCTCCAGGCCTCAGTGATGGCCACTGGAGCCTGCAGCACTTTCCAGACTTACACCGTGCTTTAGCTGCACAAGAAACTGTGGGAGGAGACTAGGCGAAGAATGCGTGAGGCTTCGTTCCACGTTGTTAACCTCCTGTCAATCCGTACGTCAAAATGTAAAACAATTTTAATCACACAAACGAAAGAAAAGCATATAGAACGGAGGGAAAAAATAGAGACCAACAAATGATCGATACAAGCAACCACAAGAATGAATATCAGCAAAATACAGAGTGGGAAGAAATAATCTAGAAATGCAGCTAGGGAAGGTGGCTCTGTGGGTAAGTGCTTGCCACACGAGCGTGAGGACCGCAGTTCAGAACCCTGGCACCCAAGTAAAAAAGCCAGAGGCAGCGACGCATGCCTGTAATCCCAGTGCTAGCGAGGCACAGCCAGGAGGGTCCCTGAGGCTTGCTGGCCAGCCAGTTTTGCTGAATTAGCATGTTCCAGGTTAAGCCTCTCTCAAAAGGTGGGAAGAGTGACTGCGGAAGGCACCCCATGTCGATTTCAGGCCACTGCAAACATGGGCGCATGCACGAGGACACTGCTCACAAAAAAAAAAAAAAAAAAAAAAAAAAAAAGATATATTACGCAGTTCCATTCATGTGAAACGCCAAGACAGTTAAAAAAAAAAAATCATCCACCGTGACAAAGTCAGGAGTCATCTGGGACCCTCTGAGGGCATGGTGGTAAGCCTTGCTGCAAAAGAGCACAAGAGAACTTTAGGAAGGATGATGGAAATTTATTTTATTTATTTTTGTGTGCTGATGAGTGTTTGCCTTCGTCTGTGTGTGTGCAGGCCAGGGGAGAGCATCAGGTCCTCCTGGAAGGAGACTTACAGACAGTTGAGGACTACCATGTGAGTGCTGGGACTCGAGCTGGGAAAAGCAGCTTGTGCTCTGAACTGTGTCACCTCTCCAGTCCCAACGATGGGCCTGCCTATGTCTTTTCTAATTTATTTTTATTTTATGTGCACTGATGTTTTACCTGCCTGTATACTGGTGTGAGGGTGTTGGATATTCCCTGGAACTGGAATTACAGACAGTTGTGAGCTGCCGTGTGGGTGCTGGGAATTGAACCCAGCACCTCTTGAAGAGCAGTCAGTGCTCTTAACCATTGAGCCATTTCTCCAGCCCCCAAATGTCTACATCTTGATTGCAGCAGATATTACATAGAGGCCACCCTTACCAATTCTCATTGAAATGAGTGTTTTTAATGAGTGGATATTATTACATCTAAGCCATACTTCCTGAAAGTTGAGATATTAAGAGTAAAGGAAGCCATGGGGTGTAGAGTAGCACAGGCTGGCTTCTGTCCCACCTCTGCCCACTCACTAGCTCTGTGACGGCAGGCAACTTACTTCATCTCTGTGTCTTTCCCTTTTCTCAGCTATAAAATGGGGTAGACAGTGGCACTGTCCTAGCTTGCTTTCTGTTACTGTGATAAAATACTGACCAAAACCAACTTGGAGAGGAAAGAGTTTATTTGGCTCCCAGCTTACAGTCCATCATCCAGGAGAGCCAAGGCAGGAACCTGGAGGCAGGAACTGGAGGCAGAGGCCATGGAGGGACGCTGCTTACTGGCTTGGTCCTCGCAACTTGCTCAGCCTGCTTTCCTACACAACCCAGGACCACCAGCCCAGGGCCAGCACCACCCACAGTGAGCTGGGCCCTCCTACATCATTAGCCAAGAAACTGTCCCACAGACATGCCTATGGGCCAATCTGATCAAGGCAGTTCCTCACTTGAGGTTCCCTCTCCCAAGGGGACTCTAGTCTGTGTTGAGTTGACAAAAACTAACCAGCACTGGCACCTTCCTACCTTACACTGCCCTTTGAGAAATAAACTAGTTGCTTTTGATGGAGCTTTGCTCGGAACAAGTTCTGAACATGAGTTTTTAATACCCAAAGAGGCCAGATGCAGTTTTCGAAGTTCCAATCTATGCCTGTCACTGTCACTTACTCTCTTCCTACTCCTGGGTGAAACACTTTAGTGGACATGCAACCTGCTTCTTCGTGCCTCACTCCCCAAGGCTTCTGCTCAGGGCTTCTTTCTGTCCCTCCAAGATGTCACATTTCCCAGGTCAAGGTCACCTATGAAGATTCCTCCTGGCTAGAGATCCCTTTTGGCCTGGCTAACTCAACCCATTATAAACCTCAAGTCTTCCACACAGCCCTCTGTGAATTCCCTAAAAAAGACAATTAGCCAGGAGAGAAAGCCACTACTTCTCTTTTAGAGATCCGGGCATGGCTGAGGTACATATTTATATCTGCATAATTATTTCATGCATTCATTTATCAAATGTTTACTGAGCAGCACTGAGGGCCAGGTATCATTCTACACTCTGAGGATACAGCAGCTTGCAAAGCTGAGTCCCCACCGATGTGTTGGGGAGCCAGGAAGAAAATAAATGGGCAATCAAGAAACTCTGTTTATGTCAGGGAGTGATGGATGCTACAGAGGAAAGCGAAGCAGGGAAGGAATGGGAACCACGGTAAAACAAGCAGGGAAGGTCTGAGGACAGGAAGGAATGAGTTACAGTAATATCTGGAGAAGAAAAGTTCCAGAAAGAAAAAAGAAAAGAAACACAAAGGCCTTTGCAGTTAGGAGCATGATTTATTTGCATGGTCTCCCATAAACCACACAAGAAGGAGAAAGGAAGGCAGTGAAGCTGGGAATGGCTGGCCTCCTAGGTTAGCACCTACACTTGGCTTTGAAACAAGGCGGAGCCACTGGAAGGGCATTAGCACAGGAACATCTTTTTTTAACTTTTTATTGATTCTTTGTGAATTTCACATCATGCACCCCAATCCCACTCATCTCCCTGTCCCCCTGTACCCACCCTCAACCCTTGTAACACCCCCAAAAGAAAAATATCTCAACGTGAAAGCTGTAGCACTTCAGCAGTGTGTCCAGCAGTCTGTCCACACTTCTTTGCATGCAAATGTTCATCGCAGTGAGTCACTGATCTGGTCCGAGGCTTCGGCTTCTGCTACAGCATCAAAACTGTATCCTCACTGGGACTCCTCTCAGATGTCCTGCTGTTGCCCAGCACAGGAGCATCTTACTCTGGCATTTATTTTAACTGGATCCTGAACACAGAGAATGCCTTGGACAGAACAGCGGCTGTATCAGGGAAACAGCCTAGATGAGCGGTGTGCAGAAGACTCAGTTGCAGGCAGTGAGGGTGAGGAAAGTTGGCTGGTTCCAGGGGTGTTCAAAGGTGAAACCAAAACATTTGATGTACAGGGTAAGAGAAGCCATAAATGATGCCAAAGATTTTGGTCTGAGCATGTGAAATAAAAAAAAAAAAAAAGTAGGAGCCTGGGGCAGCATCCATGCACCAATTTGTTGAAGAAGCACTGAAACTCCATTTTGGATGTCCTAATTTTG